GACTGTCCCACACTAAGTAGATATAACATCTATTAGTAATAGTGAGAGCCTATCTATAAGATAGAAGAAAATGCACTGCATGATGATCCTGAAGTATACTAATTATAATGAGATTGAGTAACTGTAAAAATACCATCATCAGACATTGGTTGAACATCTATGTCACAATTATACCTACCAGGAGCCTGATCATGACAACGTATTATAATTCTTCAACTATCATCAAATAGACATACTATGTCTTACAGAAACAAAGTTCAAAAATCATACAACACTATTTTCCTTTCCCAAGTCTGATCAATATCAATATATTTTTATCACCAATGATCAATATTCATTTAGATCTGGAATCAGTTTTCTCATTAGACAAAAATGGGTCAAACATATTCAAAAAGTTCATATCATCAAAGGTAGACTTATACATATAATACTAACATTTTCAGAAAATATAACAATTCATATTATTAATTATTACTTCATGGATGGAATGCAGGTATAGGAGCATTTCATTATTCTCTATTTTGGTGAAGAATGCCTGTAAAAGGATCAAGAAAGCAATGGAAAGATGGCAGATCTATTATCAATACATGCAAATGTTCTAATATAAGATATTGGATGGCTTCATGAATGGGATATAGGTGAGAAGCATCTTATTATTCTCTACTAGAGGATGTCTAGAGGGAACTTGTACTCTAAAAGAAACAAAGAAGCATTGCCTTTGACTGTTTTTGGTCCTAGTGAGGTAGCATCAATACTGGTGTTTCTTCTAGATCTGGATTCGATTACATTAATATTGGTGTTTATTTGATATAATCATTCAAACATTAGTATCTGGCGAAGGTTAGAGATTGCCACAATTCAGTTTAGTGATTGTGAAAGGTGGTTGGCTATGTCTTGAAAGGGACGTGAAGAAAAACTTCCAGTGTCAATATATGCAAACCAAATTATCAAACGCAAATGCAATGAACATTCTACAAATAATCAAATGAATATTTGGTTCATAACAGAATATTAATCATGCTAAGATGCTAACTTTTTAAATATTCAAAATATTAAACTTACCAAATTCAACTCAAAATTAAAGCAAGATCAGTTACTAAGCCAAGCTAAGCGGTAACTCAATTTTGATATCAAAGCAACCCAGCTTCTAATCAAGCTAAGTGATAACTCAAAATTATCATCTATTTTGTCACGTAACTCTAACTCAAAATCAAAGTAGCTCAGCTACTAAGATTAGATGGGGACAGGTGATACTAAAAGATGAACGAAAAAGAGGAATAATTGTATTAATAGTATTTATATATATATAGTTATATAATATAATATATAATAGTATATAGTATATGTAATCACTATGTGTAGACTAACTAATAAAGAATATAAACTTTCAAGTTAAAAGTTATTTGTGTCGAATTGACTGATTGAAAGTGAATGTATTCTTAACTTTGTCAATTTAAGAATGATCAGCTTCATGGATGGAATGTGAATGTAGGGATATTTCATTATTCTCTACTTCAGCAGAGGATGCCTGTAAAAGGATCAAGGAAGCATCAGTAGATAACAGATCTATGGGATGTCTGAAAAAGGGTGTCTAGGACTTGGTTTCCCTCCGATCCCATGGGACGGGATGGGGGATTTCACTTAAATACATGCAATACATGCAAATATTCTGATCTAAGGTAACTAGACTTCCTGCTTACTTAATAATTTATTTCAAGAGATGTTCCGTTACTGTTTGTGAGATTGTGAACTGTCAGTTGCTGAGGGATATCTACCGGTGATATTTACTTATGTGTATACGTACATATTTTGATGACATTTTCGATCATGCCTCATCAACCTTAACGAAACTTCTTCTAGGAATTGGTTATTAATTTGCTTTTTTATCTTATTTCAGATAAATAAGAATAAGAAAGGTTTGCAATGTAATGCAATGCAAAATCATCGAATTCAAACACGAATTCCAATTCACACACAAATGTTCCGATTTGAGATAATTGAGTTAAGGTAGCTAGACTTCCTTAATTATTGTTGTTGACTTACTTAATTATTGTTGTTGAGAAAAAGATAATCTCCAACATTAATTAACTTGACTGAACTTGTGATTTTAGATGAGAAACATTAATCACGCGGACAATACATGCAAATCAAATCAAATCATCGAATTCAACTCGAAATTAAAGCTCAGCTATTAACGCTAAGCTAAAATTCATCATCCGTCTCTAACTCGAAACCAAAGCAACTCAACTAACTAAGATTAGATTAGATGGTAGGATGACACTGGAAGATGAACGGAAGATGGTGTAGATGGGTTAAGTAGAAGTAGTAGTGTAGAAGTAGTAGTATAGAAGTAGTGTAGAAGTAGTGTAGTGATAATGTAGTAATAGTGTATTATTATGTATCAACTAGTATTCTAGTCGCGTTTTTTATTTTTTTGTCGTCTAAAAGGGCGTGGGTGCCAATAAAGTGAGATCGATGAACTTTGTTTTTTTATCGCCGCGCAAAAGGGCGTGGAGCACCAGTAACAACTCGGATTTGATTTGAATTTTCAGAGTTTCTTGATGATTCAAATTTCATTTAATTATATCCGTTATCCACTTTCCGGAATCTAAAATATATGAAGTCATTTCACAAAGATGGTCATTATCTAAAAATATATGAAGTCGTTTCACAGAGATGGTCATTATCTAAAAATATATGAAGTTGTTTCACAGAGATGGTCATTATCGTTATACGGAGAGTTTCAATATCATTTAACAGTCATTTTTAGTTCTTATTGTTGGGAAGGCAATGTTGGCAAATGATAGTCATAAAAATTTATATGAAAAGAAAATGAATGGTCATTTAAAATGAACAAGTGATAAAATTTGCTTTTATGAATTACACATGATGATTAATTTTATAAGTAAAATAATATGATCTGTATTGATCAAAATGCCAACTGGCTTTGTTGCGAATTTTTCGAGCAATTAGCTTTTTGTAATAATTATTAGAAAATTAGTTAACATTATAGTCGTCCCTACCAGAAAGTGTATTTTGATGATCTTTTGACTTGTCATTCATTCTAAAATTTCATTCAATATGCCAACACGGGTTACTTTTATATTGTTATTAACACTGAGCATTTACAAAATTAATTGATTGGTTCTAAAATAAATATAAAAAGAATATTATATTTATATATACATAAATGAAGTGGTGTGGTGTGGTGTGTATATGCTGATCTATGTGTATGCCTGTATGTTTGATGTATAAGGGAGTTATATAACAACGATTAATAAAAATCGATTATTTTTGGTTTAGTTCTTCTACTCGATAATTTTTCCTATTATCATCGATGAAAGGAAAAAAGGAAGGGTAGAAAGAACCAAATAAAAAAATTACATTTTCCCTAATAAATTCTAGCCAAAGGTGCTAACCAAATATTCAGTTAACAATAAATTGTTCCTTTCCAAATTAAGAAAAAATTAATGTTATGATGTTGATCCAGATGTGCCAATTTGTATTGATGATGACGATGATGAAATTTTTGATTCTGGTAATGCATTTTCCGTAATTGTCAACGATAAGTGTCTCTCTGTTGAGGATCCATCATCATCGCCATGATGAGGACTACTACTATCATTTTCGCATGCTCCTTCTCCATGCTGACTGTCAGTCACACTTCTATTGCTCGCAGCTTTTCTTTCCCGTTCAACAGTCAACACTTGTTGTCGATGATGCGACAACTCAATGGTCTGCACGACAGTCTGTTCATCTTCCATCGCGAACCGAATATCCAATCCATCCATCCACCGAACCGTTCCCACCAGACTCACATTAAACATATTCGGTATATACCCAATTCGCTGATATAATTCTTTGTCACCGAGTCTTTCTTCTGCTCGCCGTATATGCAAAAAGTGTTTTTCGATACAAAGATCGACGATGAAGAAGTAGATCGAGTGTACCGCGTAGGTGATAAATACTGCTAGTAGCACGTCGACGGTGTAATGAAGACGGGTGGCAACAAGTAGACATATGCCAGTTGTGCCATGTACGTATGAGTAATATGTGAGATATGGGTATTTACAATATACGCGAAAAAGAATTATACTAAAGAATAAATAAAAAAAATATTCAGCATACAAGAATCATAATGCGAAATCTCGAGTAATAATAGTAGTAAAGATAAAATTACCTTGTAGTAATAAAAATGGTGTGACCAGAATAAATATTATCCGTACAAGCTTTAACACCACCCAATATCAAATGCACACCTTGTTTCAACATAAACCAAAAACTCCCAGTATCGACTGGCGTACAATTCTTTGGACTCGGTAAAGTAGTAGTCGACAACGTAATAGTACGGAAAAACAACAAAATACCAAGCAACCAAAAAATTCTACGCACGATAATAATTCTCGCACGATTCGATTCAGCCATAAAAAGCGTGAAAAACACCGAACCAACCAGTAACGTTAACATAAAAAGGTCTGCCAAAAAAACCTTATCGGTCTCGGGCAAAACTTTGAATCCCAAATCGACCAACGGTTTCATGTCGTCGCCCGAGTATTTCCACCGTTGGTCGGACCATTGTATGTTGAAGGTGAGAAAGAGTCCTAATATAACCAAGAATATCGCTGACCATAACGTCCGTATTAATTCTGCCAGTAAGGCTGGTGTGAGATGAAGAAAGTCAGAAAGATGCGAATCATGTAAAATAGTCGCGTCCGTTGAACCAGACAACTGTCGATGAGAATTCCCCCAGAACTTGTCAGTCAACACTCGTCTGATTTTTGCAAAATTTAAGGGCATTATTTCGTTTTGTTGATTAGTTAGTATTGTATTCCTTATATTATTGCTATTAACCAAAAAGCAGAAAAGAATATTAGTATATGTTTTATTTAAAGAGTGTTAAATTTAGATGTTAATAGGTATTGTTAAGCGGGTCAAAAAAGGTAATATGTAATAGTTGCCAAAAAAATAAGAAATAATTACCGGCTTTTAATTATAAATAATTTTTATATCCAACTTTTCTTATTGGCAAATTATTTTAATTATTTTAATTAGTGATGCTGTGACCGCGTATTTTTATTTATGTATTGTACAGAAAAATCGCGATTTTCTACTATCTCTCAAATTTAAACATGCTTGCTTTTTATATTTTTTTTGTTGGCGTATGCAATTTGTTGATGATGAAACATCTCAATCATTAGTTTTATATGGTAATAAAAACTTGCATTATGGAACAACTTCGTAGTACCGGCGAATAAAAAAACCGAGTGACAATGGAAAATACTTATTTGCTTATTTGTATCACAAAAATTAAAATTATCTCTGGTTTTTATCGTTATTGTTCATTTACCTATTATCGTTATTTAATGGTATTGTATAAATTGTATAAATGTGATATCATTCAAATGGATTTGTTTATTGATCGTATGATTTGATTGCTCGATTCCGTGAGGAGTGGATATTCAAACTTTCTTAATATATAGCCAATCGATGCTTTTTACTCGACGACGATGATGATATATGATAAAGATAACACGATTCCTTTTTTCTCGGGACTTAGATTGCTATATAAAGAAAAGACCTAAAAGATTTTGTGTATTTGATAATAATCCATAGAATGCGTAATTGTGTTCTTTCCAAAGTTTTATTTTTCTTGCTAAATCATTATTGGAACAAAAAAGAGGAAGAGTAATCATCGTCGATCGAATCGTGAAATTAATTACTAAATAATGAAAAATTTTTCGTGAGTTTTATAGTTCACTTTAACGAAGGTCCACCGAAGATTCTAAAAAATCCTTTATTAGGAAGTATTAATTCCACTTTAACGAGGAATTCACATTAACGAAGTTTTTAGACCCTGAACTTCACTATGTAGTGCATTCTCGTGACACTTACGTAAGAATTAAATTTAGAAACCAATGGTCTAACCCCTTTGCTTAAAATGGAAAGTCACTTGTGCATTGCACTCTTGGTTTTACTAGATTAATTGCCCCATTGTAAAAACTTTTTGCCAAGAAATCTTGTACTTTGATGAAAACCGTATTTAAAAACAAAAACTTGAAGCTCAAAATAAAGTGTGTTAATCTTATAAATCTTTTTTATCATAATAGATTTTTTACATTATTATAGATCTGAAGATTTTATCCTGTTAAAAAGTATTTCGATTACAGATTCGTCACATGAGACAGTAGTTTGTTGATATGCTTCTTTCTTTAAAGGCAAACTTCCCTGTACTAGAGAGTAATTTGAAAGCTTAACTAATCATCAAGACAAGTAGAATAGAAATCTATTGAATCAAACAACATTGGCATAGATACTTTAGAATATCTTAAGCCCATCTTAAGTTTGTAACAATCCAGTTTACCTATCTTGTTAATGAGCCATATAACCAAAGAAACATAATATATTAAAGAAAACTGATACGCCAATTTTATTGACTATAAGGAAAGCTGATATGCATTATTAGCCAGTAAAAATGAAGCGAGTCAAATTAACAAATTTATTAAAGACATCTTGTCGACCCAATGTTGAAAATCAAAATTTAAATTCTGCGTATCGGTATTATATTTTTCGTGACTTAATCCTAATCATTTTCAATTATACTAAGGTTTTCCACCAGCATAACAAAATAAACAGATTCACATTGATAAGATGGTTAAAACCGCAAGCAAGGCAAACGCTTCATCCAATGTCGACAGACGATGTTGCTTTAAAATCTATGTAAACTTTGGGTCTCAAGTTTATTATTCGATCTGTTAAATTCTTGAATCAACTGAATTGGTTATTATTAGTCTTTCGATTCTAGGCCAATATATCGCATTTAAACTTACAAAAATACTAGTCCGATTTATACCGAGCGATACATAGATTTTTATCAACGATTGTTCAGTAGCTATAAGAGCAAATGGTCCGTCCGGAAATTTTGTTGGATAATTAACTAATTTATGTCTGCGGTTTTCGCTATTACATTTTGCTGTGGAAATTGATTTTTGTTATTAATTTGATGCTATATTACATGGCGAGTTAAGTTGTAGTTTTTTTTGCACATACACTATCTGTTCCACCGTTAAAAATCCAGATATTGAAAATAAAGCTCACCTTCATGCGTTGCTGATAAAAAAATAAACTTCACAAGAATCTTATTTATAGAATAGTGCTCGTGGTAGTTTGCTCCTCTAGCAGTGTTGTACATGGACGTTGACCGGTGATTTTTGGCGTTTGTGTCCGCAGGACACGGACAAGTTAAAGTCCCCTTGGTCGAAATTAATAAATGATGTGCCAGCATTAATACCAATGGACGCGAATATCAAAGTCCCGGACATAAAGAAATGCCGGACATAGACGCGGACCGACTCATAACAACACTGATAGGTTAGCATATTTTTTTCCATAATACCCAGAACGAAGTTAATTTTAGAATGATAGATACAATTCATTATATTCACCTCAATTGAAAAAAGTAAAAAAAAAATTTACATCAAAAAAAAAAGTAAAAAAAATTACAATCGGTCCAAATATATATATATATATATATAAGTAATAATAGTAATATAAAAGTGTATATGTATAATGTATATATTTTATGTATAAATCGAAAAAAAAGATTTTGACAGAATCAACATCCAATATATATATGTATGTGTGAATGCTTTTCTGAAATATTTCTTTTCCTCGATAGAGGGAACAGGATATTCGAAAAAAGATGGAAATGGAAAAAAATAATACAGAAGTGATACGTTCAATTAAAAAAATAAAGTCTTTGAGTTTTATACATTAATGATACCGTTGAACGTAATCAAAGAAAAAAGTCTTATCTCATCCTTCAATTCGTCTGTTCCCTCGTTTTCTTGATATCGTGTTAATCTATATTACAAAATCAATGGCGATGAGTTCACACCGCTTTCTTCATTGCTGTTATCATTATTGTTGTTGTCATCATCATTATCACCATTATTATCATTATTATCATTATTATTATCATTAGTAATAGTAGGAGTAGTAGTAATTGTTGTAGTATTATTATTATTATTATTATTATTATTATTATTATAATTATTATTATTATTATTATTATCATCATCATCACCATTATTGTCGTTATCATTATTGTTATTATTGTCGTTATTATCATCATTATCATTGTTGTTGTTGTAGTTATTATCATTATTGCTATCGTTATTATCATTATTGTTAATATTATTGTCGTTATTATCATTATTATTGTTATTATCATTGTTGTTGTTGTCGTTATTATTATTATTGTTGCTGTTGTTGATATTATCATTGTCATTTGAATTGATCAATTGTTCTTTGCTGCCGTAATCTTCGCTCACCAAGACATTTTCGGCATCATGAGTGAAAAAGAAACTAGCATCGTCGGCTACATCATCTTCAATGCAAAAGTCTTTTTGGATAACTTCCATATCTTCACTAAATGCAGTTGTTGATGTCGTAGTTCTAATCGAGGCTGAAGAACTCGAACGGGAAAAAGTTGGTTGGGGATCAAAAGGTGAAGAAGCAGTGGAATCGGAATGTGTATGATTGTTGTCTGTCAGTGGCTGGGATACGCGGGTGATGTCGTTAGGATTTGTAGTTGCGGTCATCAAGGGTGAAGGTCCTGATGAAGGTGGCGTGTTTAGGGTTATCAGATCGGGAATCATAGATGCGGATGATGATGGTGGTGGTAATGAAGCAGCAGTTGTTGTGATATTTGGTGAGACAACGTGGTATGCGTCTTCGAAAGAGAGTGGTATAATGGCTTCTACTCAACCAAGGGATATAGCAATAGATTTCGAAAGCGCCGTTCCCATTGATAAAATAGAAGACGTGATGTAGAAAATTACTTCAAATGGGATTAATATGACTTACCCAGTTTGTCTGAGTTTAATTCGAGAACTGTATTCATTGCATTTGATATATTCGCTATAAAAAAATTATTTATGGATTTAATGAAATCAATAAAAATAATATTAATTCAAATCGCGTCTGATACTAAATAAAATAAAAATAATCACCAGAAATATCTTCCAATCCTCTCCCAACAACTCGTCCATCTTCGACAACAACAGTCGCAACTTTCCTATTACTCCTATTTCCATTCGTAACACACCCATTCTCGCCAACAAAACTACATCCCCCATCTTCCTCGACAATTACTCCTCGCTTGATCTCTAGTTTTTTGGCCTGCGGGACTTCGCCTTTTTTCATTGACTCTTGGTAGCCGGTACCATATGTTTGGAAACTAAACTGATGGGAAAGCCATAAAGGCGGGGGAAGAGATGTCCGTGAGGTTGTATGAGTGGCTATTTCGGCATGTGCTAACCATTTTTTGCTGTTATCCTTTTTCACCGTGATTTCCTGATCTTTAGATGGATTTGGTGATTCGATGGCGTTCTTAACCTCACTCCAATTTTGTCCACGGAATAAATTCCATTCTACCACATCTTCATATTTAACTAGTAAACCTAATGTCGGTTCTCCTGGCCTGACAGCATCTTTTCTTCCTACTCCAGCAAATTCCATACCCATTCCAACAACACCTGCAGCACCACCAACCAACACTCGACCCATATTTGCAACAGCCGCAGCACTTCCCGTTAGCGGTACTCCAGTCATTCCAATCATATTGTTGCTTCCTTCTTCTTTGCTCTGTGACCCATTATCTCTAATCAATATCCCTTCCATCCAAACTCGATGTAATGTCAAAATACCGGTTGGATGAAGGCTTAGAATATCCTGATAGCCTATATTATCGAATCTATCTTCTTCTTCTTCGTCCTCAAAGTTCGGATAATTAAGAGAAGTTGATTTTCCGGAGGGACTAGAATTTTGTGTCCACGATTTTGTTCTTCGTCGTTCACGTCTTGCCGACTGACCAGATAGTGGATTATTATGTATCATGTTATTAATTGTAGTAGAAGGAGACGATCGGCGCTTGGTATTACGTTGTAAATTGGCATGTAGGCCGCCAAAAAAGTTCACAGATTTCGAATCGACTGAAAGAGACGGTAAAAATTTCAGGCAAATACCAGGAGGTTTACGCAACAGATCTGATGTGGGGCAATTAATGATATTGTTATTTGTGGTGATCAATGCCCCGTTATAAGGAATTTGTTGTTGATTATGACTGGAGCTCGTAGAAGATCCATTAGGATGTAATGGGCTTGGACGTCGCATTGGACTTGCTGCAGCAGGAGAAGAATTCTGTTCAAATTGAAGCATGGAATAGTAATCATTTGTGAATATGTTGGGAAGTAGCTGATTTGATGATTGCGAAGGGAAATTTGCGGGATCAGTTGGATCCAATGGAAGAGGGTTTCTTGGCTTGATTCTGACAACTGGTGATTGAGTGCTTGATGTGTACTAAATAAAGAGAATGTAAGTTTATTGGCAACTATGATTAATTGAATTGATCTGATCATAGATACGCTGTAATTACCAGTTCTTCAGAATTAATGACCCATCCCTTTACATGCGAAGGAACATCTGCTGGGCCACCATAAGGATTGATGGCAAATACATCTATAAATATGAACTTAGTCAAGGAATTATATAACATTATTTAAGGTGTACTAGAATCATTCATGTTTCCATGGTATATTTCAATAAAGGATACGGATTGTCCCGCGGCCACTAGCTACTGCACACCATCTGGAGTCTACACTCCAGCCAACAGATCCTTCACCCACACTAGCATCTGTTAACCCTCGAGATAACCGATAAATGTGTTTTATGGTCTTTTGGCCACCTCCTCGACGTCGTTTACCAAGAATCTCAAATATGTGAAACTTGTGTCCTTGGATAGATGTCGAAAATAAAAGCGTCCCCGATGGATTGAAAGAAAGATGCCCGACAGGATGTGTGTGAGGCTGGAAATGTGCAACAACCGGTGGTAGTTTTGTGTTTTGAAGAGTTTGGAATCCAATATCACGAATCATTATCTTTATTTTAGTATAAGCCAATATTAGTTTATTAATTGATTATTTCATTTAATAAAAAAACGGCTGTAGTTCAATTTTTTTATCAATTTGATTGTAAACTTACTGCTCCAATAATTTCATTTTCTAGCCCAGCATTCCCATTTCCATTAATATCGCCGCTAATACTACTGGCACTGCCACCCTTTGGATTATAATAATAATTATTTGATGGACTAGGTTGCGGCGAATGTGAATTTCGAGAATTCGGACTCATTGACCCATTCTTTATGTTTATTGGCATAGATTTGGGAAAAGATGAGCTAGCTGAAGGATTTGGAGGATTGAGACCATTCGAGAAATAGGCTGAAATAGTTTGATATCCATAGTCACCTTTAATTTTGTTTTTTTATTTGTTAGCAAAAAATTAATATGATATTGGTTGTACTTGAATGGCACGCTAAAAGTCTATGCTACACCAAAAATAAAAGAACGAATGGGTTAAAATAAAATACCTAACAATTTGACTCCGTTCACAACTTCTTTTGCGACTCCTTTTGCGACATCTTTAGCAACCTCTTGGTACTTTCCGGTTCCTCCATTATTTTCATCCGCTTCCCCTAATAAATAATCTCCATCACTTTTTCCACCACGTTCTGGAGGCTGCGACGTGGTTGCGTATGCCAGCAGCCGTGGTCCTAGTGAAAAAATAGGGGCACGTGTGATAGGATGTGATCCAACATCAGTCAAAGGGGGTAATGTGTGGTCCAGCGTCAAAGTTGAAAGAACATAGAGTCGTGAAGGATTCGAAAGAGCCTTTTTTTCAAGTGAGAAATAAGCTTTTTTTTAAAGATAATTCACGCAAATAACATGCATAAGTCATAATCTGGCATACCACAATTATTGCCCGTTCATTACATTTAACGCAAGTCACTGTTCCCTCATTCTCAAAACTCATCATCTTTACTACATTATGTGATTTAAGTGAAAAAAATTTCAATACGCTTCTTGGTCTAGCAAGCGCGTCTGAATCTTCATCATTTTCTTGATGTGTTGATTTAGTAGGTTTGCATCTGAGATAAGAATCACACACAGAATCAAATTTAGACGCTGAATTAATTTGAATTCTGGATAATATACATGAAGAGCAAAGCTTACATTAAAGCAACCAACGGACGAGAATTCTCACATGGAGAATCTTTTGGTATTTTTTGTGGGTTTGGTATTACCTAAAGATAATAAGACGCGTTATTTATAATACTTGTATAATTTAAAATTGTAAAGAAACAAACTTGCTTACTTTTAAATAAGAGACTTCTCCAAAATTTTCACTATCTCTAATTGAAATTAGTTCATGAATATTATCTGGGCTCGATACGTCCCATATCTGAAAACCATCTGGATATCCTAATAGCAAAACAGATCGTCTAAAAGTATCAAATGTAGATATCAATAATTTATTTGCATGTTTAAAATGTGTTTAATTTTACGAGAACCTACTTTACAGAATTATTTTGAGCGCCCAGCGCAATAACCTCAATTTCATCGAAAGCTGCATATACAATGACCTCTTTCTTTGCCACAGAGATTGAATCAGCCACAGTTAACGATTGTGAGTCTGTATCTCCTGAAAACTGTGGCTGTAAATAGTCTTGATGCAAAAATGCTTGGTTATTTAGCTCTCCAGACGCGCCGCCAGCAACTTTTCTGAGTGAGGCAATAGTAGAGGGTAGATTATGGGCCACGTACGACGAAAGACCGTAAAGTGCAGAAGAAATAGACTCGAGTGTTGACGGGTCTCTGCAACAAAATAACATTATTAATTCAGAGTTGTGATGAATGACAGAGATTAAGGTGATGACGGGATGTGAATGGGAAACTAAAGGCCACTCACCTCAAAAACTTTGGCTCTACTTTGACACCTACAGAGTTGCTGGCTGTGGACGACATTAGAAAGTTATATATATACTAGCGAAGCAGAATTATTTATAAAAAGTGAAAGTTTTTGTAGTAGTGTTCAAGATTACGTTGAGAAAACGAACTAAATCTTGTTGGTCTATAATGTTTGAAATATATTACAACAAAAATGAGAGAACAAAGTCAAATGCTTATTATTAAGGTGAAGGGGAAACAGGAAAAGAGAAAACTTGATTAGAAGTAGAGGATAATTAACTATTCTAGTTAATAGCAAGTAGTAGTAATTTATAATATTTCTAACAGTAATATTAATAATAGAATGATATATTATAGCAGTTACAAGTAATAAGTTGCACTAATATCTATAAAGGTAGCAAATTCACGTCAATATCTAATATACTTATTATTGTGTGAGAGAGAAAGAGCGCGTGAACAAGAGAAAAGAGAAAAGAGGAAAGAGAGGAATATGAAAAGAAAAGAAGAAAACAAGCCGATGACGACTCCAGTACACGAAGCAAAGTATAATGATCATGCGTGACGTTAGCAGGTGACTTTCGTTTCTTTTACGCGGGTAATGCTTTTATTTATAATGATCGGCGCAGCACAACCTTTTTATTAGTTATCTCACAATCATTAATTAATCTTCTGTGACGATACGCTATGACTCAATTCCATCTTCTTTGTGCATCGATATATTGCGTAGTCTGTGAACTACGCATCGAACACATGCATGAATCACATTTATAGTATTTGTTCTTGATTAATCATTGTTACTCATTGATCATTATCAAAAGAAACAATCAAGGATAACGAACGGGTTCCGACTGTACACGTAATTCTCGCTAAAATAGAAAATCCATAAATATCGATATGCAATTTTGCATGCGATATTTACTTTCTCGCGCGATGTTTTAAAGAGCCTTAATTTTTGGCTTGTAGATTGTACATGCGATTAATAACATATAGCTTTCTCGGCTCTTGTATTACGTTGAATCTTTAATTTTGGATTAAAAATAGTCGCGCCATTGAAACTTCCCTCCAATATTCGACCAATAAAACAATTACAAAAATCAGATCCACAACCACTCACCAGATGGGAGAAATTCGCAAAAAGTTAAAGGTATTCAAAAACGGAAAAAGGACAAGCTGATATATGATGAAGAGAAAGGCGAGTAGGTACCACGTTGGGGATATAAAGATTTCAATGACGACGGCGCGAAGATGCCTGTTTCTAATAATGATGGTGTGTATATGTCTTATTGGTTTATTTTATCAGTCGAAATTTCGTTTATTGAATTTATTTCTTGTCACTAAGAAATGCGTAATTGAATAAAATTCTAGAATGATGAAGGGCGTAAAAATGGTATTTCTATTTCTATGTTTGGTTCATTGATTCTTTCTTTGTATTTAGTTTGAACCAACAATTGCTGATCTCAAAAAAGAATTCAAGTATATTGAAGAGCCCCAAGGTAAGTTATCGTTATCGTTATATTTAATGTTACTATTCTTTTTTACTGTGACCTTACCCAGCATCGCCAACAGAAATTCACGCTCACATGAGCGTGAATTTCTGTTGGGGTGTGGGTATAAACAAATATGTAGGGTGAGGTTTGACTATACAATTGATATATAAGAGAATATAAACCAATTTTAAACAAATTAGCTTATAAATAAGTTTATTAATAAAAAACAAATAAAATAATAATTCTTCACAGAATACAAAAATGTCATTTACAATTTTTTTTTTTGGTTCAAACGAACAAAATAAATATCCCCACCTATTAAATTTAAACTACTACTCTTTATTCAACACCAATCCGTTTTAATATTTTAGTCAAAGTTCCAGGTTCTTTATATCCCAAATGCCCACTTGTATATGAAGTCACATCATAATTTTCAACCCTTGGTGAATTCACAGCTCTAAGACCAGCGACATTCAAATCTAGCGAATGCATTCGATAAACTACGGCTAATACCAAGTCATTCGTAGCGTATGCGTTAACGATTCGACGGGAAACAACTGTGGATGCTAATTCCCATTTCTCTAAATGCTCAGCCGTGATTGGTCCACCAATTAAAATGACTATACAAGAATGTTAAAAATACGCGTCAATTTATGTTTGCGAATTTGAAACTGTTATTTTACTTACCACTATCAATTAATCCGTATTCTTCTCTTCTCGCCAATTCTTGCAAACATTCCCAAATTACCAATGCACCCAAAGAATATCCAATCTGACGATAAGTCAAAGTCTTTAATAAAGTATATATTCATAGAAAACCGAATAAAAATCCTAATTCACATACCAAAACTGTAGGCCTTTTGCCTTGCACACGCTCCGATAAAACATCCGCCAATATCAATCCTGCTTTGGCTGCACGATCAATTCCCAAAGCCCACGGATTATCGATGAGGTCTCCCGCTTTGATTAGAGCAGCTGGCAAGAAAAGAGCACTTGCCAGCAATCCGAATACGGTATGTTTTATGACCTCATTGGCCGCCATTTTTACGGCATGCTCTGCGAGGAACCGTCTGAATGCTTTTCCTAATGATTGAAGAATTTCCGAGTCAAATGTCAGAGCATATGTGTCGTGATATTCTGCGGCATCTTGAAATGTTGGAAGCCAGGGAGTGGTCACTTCATTACAATCATCTAACAAATAACCGGATATCACCACATTTAACTATATATGAGGTTAATTTAACAATTAAATAATATATAGATAAAATTCGAGTAAATTAACTCGAGAGGTTACACACATAAAGAGATGGAATCTGAGGCAATTCGTGTTGTTTTTGCTCAATTTGCTTAAATTCAAATTCATGTAAACCTCTGGTTCTTTTGCGCATCTTGTAACCTATAATAATATGACAGGAGGTTGTTGGCACATATTATATTAATTTTTAAGAATCTATGAAATTCTTCGCACCTGCAAGGCCTCCACCTGCGATCCCAAATAATCCAGTGATCAAAGCGAGACTTGAAGATGTGATGAAAATACCTCCAGTGATTGCACCTAAGCCCACCGCCACAAATGGCGCGGCTTCACTTGACGTTGAAAAATTTTATCAATTAGAGCAACGAACATATTAAATATATTAGAGAATTAAATAATACCTAATCCTCCGGTGATACCAATGGCAGTAGCACCCACTAAAACGCCAACACCCGTCGCTAACCACCTTAATTTTTGTTTACGTTTATCATGTTTAGTTACAGTTTCATTTGCACTGGATTGCAATTTGTGAAGATTATCATCTTTTTTGACATTGGTTTCATGTTCCTGCTGGATGAAATATAATTGCTGCGCCAGTGCATTTTCATGCTTCAAAACATCCGATGACGGACATTTTAGTAAGTCGGAAACTTTGAATAGAATCGCTCTTGCTCTCGCATCATATTCTGCGGGCTTAATTTTAACTGGATCCGAGGATTTTTCATTCTCTACAACTTGTTCGAGTTCCTCAACTGTTTTGTCAAATAGTTTATCAAGTCTGTCTTTTAAATTCATGCGTTCGGTAGCCGACGAAGGTTCTTGTGGCTCTTGTGTATCTTGTGTATCTGTTATTAGTTCAGCCGAGAAACCCATGCAGATCAATAATAAATCTGTTATAACTTCGGAACGAATATCTTTTGTCTCTTTACTTTCCGCATCTTTAGCATTTATGAAGCTGTTTACTAAGAATTCTAGATTTGGTGTATTATTTTCATCCTTTAGAATTTGTTGTAATAAATCCTTTTCTGTTTAAAAGCATAATAAAATTAAATTCCGAATGATATATTTAAAGAAAAGCAGCTTTGTGTGTCGATTGTACCATTTTCATCCTCAACTCCCAAGTGTTTAAAAATCCCGGCAATAAGGGTTCGCCGAAAAATCCGTTCTTTTTCATTATAGGACCAGCTAGTTGTGTTAACCACGTACAAACAAACAACGGCAAGGTTAAACCGCTGTTCTGGAGTCCAAGTGTGACAAAAACGTGGAATTACAATTTCATTCGTATCTGTTGACATGATTTCTTTTGCTTAGGAAGAATAGTCGTCGATGCTTTTATTTAGGAAAATACTGAGTTTATGTAAAACATTCCTTCTAAATTACGATTCGAATGCGGAACCGGTTAAAATTGTGTGCACAAGAATGAAATTATTCATTTACACACAGTTGTTTGTATGCTTTCAAAAAATTTATTTTGCATTACATATATTACTCATAACGTCATTCGTGTGACGAAAATATCTGCGAGTTCTTTAATTGGAAATCTTGTACTCGAATTTTTGTTTCAAGCTTTTCCGACCAACTATACATTATTCCTCCCCTTTCTTATTCCCACGTCGACGATTGCTATCGATAAAATTTTGGTCAAGGAAAAGCACACTACGAGATCGTTCTTCCTTTCAAGCATATTTATTAATCTTTTTTGTTTCCATGAATTTTTTAATTACATTTGATCTTGACGAACTTTAGTAAATAAATAATTTATATAGACTATTACAAGATGTCTTTGAGCAAATCAACAAGTAACGGCGAAACTGTGAAAAAAGATTTAAATAGTAAAACTGAGAATTCAGATACCACTATAGTGATCCCAAATGCAACGAGCCATAAAAAGTCAGAGGGATCGTTAGAATCGCTCGAACTCACCTTATCACCGTCACAAATAACTCCCAAAGAGAATGAAAACTATCAAGGATTGAATGCAAATAACAGTGAAATTAAACAAAGCAATGATAATAGCCCTTCTAGTCCGATTGTTGAAGCTTCTACACATACTGCTACTATTACTACTACTAGTAGTAATCAACAGGAAAAGACAATAGGGCAACAAACTAAGTTTCCGTATTTTCAGATTGGTGTTAGTGAAGATAGAAATAAAAGGTGTAGGCGAACTATGGAGGTATTATTGTTAGATTTGATTTTGTTCGAATTTTTGGAGGGGAGAATTTGCGCATTTTTTTTTTTAGGTTAATTATTTTGATCTTATATTTAGGACGCGCATTCTTTCTTTTATGATTTCGCGGGGGTTGAGGGTCAAGGATTTTTTGCTATTTTTGATGGTCATGCAGGCAAACAAGCTGCTGAATGGTGCGGTAGTCATTTTCATGAGGTAAAAAACTAATTACTCTTGGACGAAAAGAATTCTATATAAAATTTATTGATAACAAGAGTGTAAAATGAAATTTAAATGGAAAAAGATCTATTGTTAATTTTTAAATACTATTACTTTTAGACTTTTCAACAAGTTCTTCAAAAAAACACACATCGCTCAATCCCAGAAGTATTTCATTTGGCATTTCTCGAAGCCGACAAAGAACTGAACCAAAGCGCGGGCAAACATTCAGGATGCACAGCTATCGCTGCATTTCTTCGAACAGAAGAAATTAAAGATAGTGAAGTAACAAATGGCAAAGAAAATACACCACAAGCAACAACAGCATCTGAAATAGTAGAATCAAAAAAGAAATCCAAGGTATGTAGGTAACTTTTCCATTATAACGAATCTATTGAGTTTCGAGATTGTCTTTTATTCAATATGACAATAAAATTCTTTATATATTATATATATTTAGCGTGTTCTTTATACTGCAAATGTAGGGGATGCCAGGGCCGTTTTATGGTATATATTTATTAATAAATATGATTACTAGTAAATTATTTTTGTGGGTTAATTTTTCTTGGATTTTTGCAAGCCGTGATGGTAAAGCCATTCGTCTGTCATATGATCATAAAGGAAGTGATGCTCAAGAGGCAAAAAGAATTACGGATGCGGGCGGATTCGTAATGAATAATCGTGTTAATGGTTCGAAAATAATTTATTATTTTTATGGATTTAATTTCAAAAAAGGTTTCTTCTAAAATTAATTATTTCTTTTTTTGTAGGTGTTCTCGCAGTGACTAGAAGTCTTGGAGATAGTTCAATGAAAGAATTTGTGTATGTTATTACTATTTTGGGAAAATGAGATGTGAGAATAATCGTGTTCACTTATTATATTAATAATTTTTATATATACACACGTAGTGTTGGAAATCCTTATACCACTGAGACAATTTTAACGGAAAAAGATCCTTTTCTGATATTGGCATGTGATGGGGTATATATTATCACATATTGATTTACAGTTCATTTTTGAAATATTCTACTAATCTCATAATCTATTGTCAAATTTTCAGTTATGGGATGTCTGTGAAGACCAAGATGCAGTTGATCTCATTAAAGGCTTCACTGACCCACAAATAGCTAGTAAAAACTTACTTGATCACGCCTTGCAAAATTTCAGCACTGACAATCTTAGTGTTATGGTGGTGAGATTAATGAATGGATAGAAAAAAAGTAAAATATGACACTATCGAAAAAATAATGGTGGTGGTGTGGGTAAAAGAAACTATCTAATTCAATTTCCCTTTTCTAATCTTCTTCCATATATGCGTATAGTAGAATTTTTATTTTCTTTGTGTATCCTCATTTTTGTTACTTATATAGTACATATGGGAAGTTTTTATTAATGAATCAATGAATGAAATTCACCGAAACTATACGATTTTATTGTGCCACAATAATATTCATGTTTTCGGTATCGCAATCTTCATTTTTTAAGTTATGATATAGAAAATTAGACATGTTGAAAGCCGAAAGTCCATGCATTAATCAAAATAAAAATTTCTTGGTTGGTCCCTGTCCAAAGTCCAACTTTCTCTGACATGATGGCATGGTGTGAAGTCTAGGAAAAAGTTTTCTCAGTAATATGAATAGTCAACGAATTCAAATGCATTTAAAGCTCTATCTACCCAACAAAAATAAAAAGAATTTTATTAATAAGACAAATATCCACAAAATTTCTTTATCAAAGATAAAGTTTTTAATGAAAAAAATGAAAATGCAATATTGATATTATGAAAAATCTTTACAAAAATAGAAAGAATCATTTTATATTCATAAAAAACTTGATAAAGACACTTACTAATTATGAATAATGAATGAAATACTTTTCAAAAATTCATATAATAGAGATTATTTGAAATAATATATTAAAAATAATAAATTAAAACTAATAATTATAATTCAAAATTAATCTAATCTGACTGAAAAGTCAATAAACTAAGCTTTAAAATTGATTAAATCTCATATTATTGTAATTGTGATTAGAATTACAAAATTTTTCAAAATTAATTTCAATTGAAAAATATCACTGTCTTCAATTCTATTATCCAAGAATTATTTATAAATAACTTGCTCAAATATCATATATTTGCAAATCAAAAAATTGGAGAACTTTATTTCACTGTAAAAAATACTATTATCATTGGTCTGTGATCTTTACTGATGAAGATATTTATGAGATAGGTAATAGTGACTGTGTTCACGCAAAAGTATATTGTTGTGATTAGATATTTTCATAATCACAAACGATCATCTCACATGATCACTTCACATGATCACTTCACATAATCACTTCAAATGATCATTCCAAATGATCATTCCAACCGATTATCTCAAGCGCTTCAAATGATCATTGCAAATGATCACTCCAAATGATTATTGCAAATGATCATTGCAAATGATCATTTCAAATACTCTGAATGATCATTGCAAATGATTATTTTATAATTATCAAATACTTATAAATACAGCTTGTATCTTAGCTTAGAAAAATAACAAGTTAACAAAATAACAAGTTAACAAAATAACAAGTTAACAAAATAACAAGTTAACAAGTTAACGAGTTCTTAGTTTTATTTCTTTTAATAATCCTTTAGATAATATTTTCATAACCTCTCATCTTAATTGCGAAGTTATTTTTGTATTTGTTTTATAACCTCTCATCACTATTGCGAAGTTATATTATCTTATACATTTTTGTATTTGACCTCTCATCTATATTGCGAAGTTAATAATAGTATTGAATTAATTATATCTTACTTGTTTATAAACCAAACTTAAAAGAAACATTTGATTTATTATAGATTAAATTATAAAAGATATACAATTATCTTTGAATCTTTCTGATCTCATTCTAGTTGATCAACAAAATGAACATACGTTATCTACCTTTAGATAATTTAGTAAACTCTTCCAATTTAAAGTTATTTAATATGTCAACTCTTCCACCTGACTCTATTACGTGTATTCTCATGACAGAACCTAAAATCATATTAAAACGGTAACAATATAAAAAAGATTTATTGTTTTTTATTGATAAAACTATATTAGAATTCAAATTAAAATTAATAAAACAAGTATAACTATTAACAATAAAGTTATTGATCAAACTATTATTCAACAAATAATTACAAAATTATTATAAATACTTTTATAATACTAAAAGTTAATATATTATTGTTCTAAAAAATAATATATTTATTATTAATTAGAAATAATATTAGAAATAACAGAATTATTTGCAATACTAAATATAAATAAATATTTATAATTTAGCAAAGTTATATAATATAAAAATTCTTCTCATTTTAATATTATCAAAAGTAATCTTACATCAAAATAACAAAAATAAATACAAAAATACTTGATAAATATTATAATTTATTTAATCTAATTTTATCTGGTTAAACAAGTATTACTCAATATGAAATACACTTGAAAGATAGTTATTCTATCATATTAAAATTATTATTTTTATTAGTTTCAAGTTATTTACATATTCTTTACATGTTTTTAATAGTGTTATTCCAGTTCTTTTAACAGTATTTATATAGCAGAAGGTTTTTAATAGGTCTCTTCTTACAGTTATAAGAGGAGATAGTGGATCAAGTTAAGTTTATTATTAAGAAAGTTATACGTTATAATTATGATGGATTCAAGATAGTTTTATTAACAAAGCTTCTTTATTACTATACTTTTCACTATTGCTGCCTCTGTCAGCGCTCTGCACATAGACTATACAAGTATATAATACAAAAATAACAATATTACATAGACTATTCCAAGTCTATAATCAAAACTATACTAAAAATCAAAGAGTAATTATAAAGTATGTAATAAGTGTATTCGTTATTAAGAACTTGTTACTTTCTTATGACAATTCTTACTAAGTTCTGATATGAATTTGCTATCAAGTGAAATGCTATTTATATATAAAATTGATTGTTACAAAGATCTCTAAATATCCATTGTCACGAGTCCCAGGCTCGGGTAGGTAATCTCGTGACATGGATATTCAATCAATGTCTATTTTGATATTTTAATGATTCGATCCAGTTGCTTTTAGGATCACAGCACAGTGCAGCTTCTTCTATTCTATTAAATTAGAATAGGTAACACTACTACTAATAAATATCTCCTTTGTATTTACTAAGTGTGGTGATGGTTCTATAGCAATACAGTACTGATATTCTATAGCAACCTGGTTGAGTGTCCAATAGTGTATAAAGTAAGTGTTATAACAAAATTAATGATTATAGAATTAATTAATATACAATTTCATTAAACAATAAACAAGAAGCAGTTTATTGACTACCTAGATTTTGTATTGATCAATTGATGCCTTTTGGTTTATCCAAAAGATCCTTTATTTATATAAAATAATTTATAGTTAAGTTATTACAATGTGGGATATGTTATACATATTAGATAAATATGATATAGTGGATAATGTTGATATGTCTGAGAACTCTACTATCTCTGCTATCTCTACAATCTATATTGAGTCACATGATCAGAATTAAGAAATTAAGAAATTAAGAATAATTCTGGGCCATAACATCATCATCACCAAAAAAGAATCCAAAAGCGGTATCACTATCATTACGCCAATGCCAAAAATCCAGCTCTGATGAAGATCTACCATGCTGACAACAAAAATCTGGTCATGAAGATCTTCATCAGAGTTTGGATCTTTAACAATACGTGAAAAAACTATCAGAACTTTGAAAAATGTCTGATAAAAAATTAAACGAATATTTGCTTACATTACCGACAGATGAAACGTCAGCGTGGTTTATGGTCATATACAGAGAAGAAGAAAAAGAAGGACCGGTGATGTCAACATCAAAAAAATCTGAAAGTTCAGCGAGAGCCAAAACATTATCACCAAAAATCGCCAGTTCGTCATCATCTCCCACAGTAGTTATCTGATTGTCACCAAAAAAATATCGCCAAAAAGTAACTGGCTGTCTTTTGTTTTACCAAAAAGTAATCACTATCCATCAATATCAACACCAACACCATCAACACCAACATCAACAACACCAACATCAAGGTTTGCTAAATAATTGAGATTGAAGATATTTTATAAATGTGCTATTTTTAGTTATTTTTTTTATTGTAAATCATCTGAAAGCAAAAATAGATGATAATAAGTGGGAAGAAGAAACAGAAAATGAACAGGAAGAAGTCAAACTGGAAGAGCAAATGGATGACAAACTGAAAGATGATAATGACGATGATAACAATAATGATGATAACGATAATTATATTATTTTGAAAAAAAGAAGAGCTGAAGGTAAGTTAAGTAGTTATTGAATTTTTATTTATTCCTTTTTTATTCTGTTTTTATTTTTTTTTATTATAGACCAAAAGCAAGCCTCGAAAAGCAAAGGCTAGGTGAAAATATGGAAAGGATAAGGAAGCTAGAAGAAAAAGAGATGAGGAAACTAGGAGAGGTGATAATAGTAATAGAAGAGTTGTAACTTGTTCCTGAAGAGTATTCAATAAAGGAAAGGGATGCACAAAATAGGTAAGAGAAATTGCCAATTTATCTAAATAATGATTTTTGCAGCATTTGCTTTTTTTAGGTTAGGTTTCTGTCAGTTTGGCTTCGACAAATGTCTTCCTATCGCTACTTCATTTTTATTCATTATTCCAATTTTATTCTGACTTTTTTTACTTAATATTTTGACTTTTTTTTTGTTCATTATTCTGGCTTTTTTTTATTTACTATACCAACTTTATTCCAATTTTTTTATTCATTATATCAACTTTATTCTGACTTTTTTATTTATTATTTTATTCTGACTTTTTTATTTAATATTCTGACTTTTTTTAACTCACACTTTAATATTCCTCTACCATTAATTTTGACATTCCTCTACATCAATTCCAACATTTCTCTATTACAATTCCAATATTTCTTTACCATCAATTCCGACATTTCTCCACTACAATTCTGACATTCCTCTATTATCAATTCCAATATTTCTCTACTACAATTCTGACATTCTTTTACTATTAATTCTGATATTCCTTTACCATCAATTCTGACATTTCTCCACTACAATTTTGATATTTCTCCAATTATTATAAAAACAATAGAACATTCAAATATAAATATATAGAACATTTAGAATATTTAGAGCATAATCTATAATTA